TCAGCTAGTCAAAATTATAATTTCAAGAGGGGACCATTGGTGTGAATTTTTCAGAAATCGAAAGTGAAGGGGGGTCAGGAGCCCCCTGACCTCCCTCCCCCCCTAAATCCGCCACTGGATGTGGCTTGTATGACTGAGTACAACTTATTGTCCTTAATGTGCGTATTTTTATGTCACTCGCGTTATTTAATCATAAGTGAATATGCTTTTGATGCTGATTAAACCGCACTGAGGTGTTTGCACGACCGGTGTAACATGAATATCTGACTCCCATAAAAATCTGACTCCCCCAGTCAAAATTTCATAATGAAAATTTGACTCCCCCCATGAAATTTTGACTCCCCCCACAAAACTTCATAAATCTTTTTTTTGAGTATATGACTTTTATGTTGTAGTATGCATAATGGAGGATACATTGGCATTTTTTGTTAGTTTGCAGGTGAAATTTTTTATGAGAAAATAAGAAAATTAAAAATGTGTATTCTACATTCTACGTGGAATGCAAAGGTTAAATAGAGTTCATTATATTTCTGTAAGTTGTTTTCAATGTAAGCCTATTTATTGAAAAATATGGATCTAATGAAGAGCTATTATCCCTTAAAAACATGAGCTATGTCGGCACGGAGTCATTAAGCACTGGTAAGCATTGAAAAATTGTTCCCGTTTTATGATACTTAATTTCCCCGCCAAAGTTATTTTTCCTTTAAACTGTTGACCCAAAATGTCACGTTGACCTAGGTTCTGCTAGCTAGATTGACCCATGAAAGCAGCATTGTGAGATCTACCGGTATGTCTGCAAATGTTACTGGAAGTTATGATACGTGTGCGAGGCAGACACAAGTCCAGGGCTTTCGGGGTTTTTTTTTGTAATAAAGTTAGTATATTTCACAGAAGAATTTAAGCTTGATTTAGTGCCTTGCTGTAAACATAGTAAAGCCTATTGGCGTCAAACTAGGAGAAGAAGGACGGATGAAATGGGAACAAATCACGCGAAGGACGTATTACTTGTATAGAATTTACACTGTAACCAGTGCAGTTACACAGACACTTGGACCGTTTTGCCCTCCCAAATCTCCCCGCCATCTTTTTCCCTCTTTCCCTTCTCTTTTTTCATGATCACTGCAGATGTTCAACAGGTAAATACAACCAAATAACCATAGCATGACCTTTGCTCGAAACATCTTTTTTCGAGTAGATGTTCTTATTTATCTTTTCTAAACCTGTTCGTGCCGAATTTGTGCGCTTGACCTGATGCTTTGACGAATCTGATCAACGAATTCAAGTATTTTGATCATCCATAATGCAAATAAAAGCTTGCGCCAAAACACTTCACTTCTAGTTTATCAAGGCGTTTATCATTTTCCTTTTTCATGGATTGGTGAATAGACTTATTATGACTTTTCAAAACCTTCTTGCCCTCAAAAAATGTATATAAATAACAATTAAGTGAAAAAAGCATTTGCTTTTAATTGGCACTAGTGTGATACGCAGGGTGTAACTTACTTGGGCCTAGTTCTCTTATTTGATAGGTGATCCCCCCTTTTTTTTTTTTTTTTTTGCAAAATTCTAATGTACTTAGATGTCTTTTCATGTTTGAACGTAAGACCATCATAAAAATAACCATTTAGTAAAAGGACACCCTTTTTCCCCCATTAATTTGAAGGGGTACTAGTGCGCTTTGCCCTAGTTCTCTTATTTGGTTTGTGAACCCCATGTTTGTTTTTTCAACGTCCTTAGATGTCTCTTCAAAAAATAAAAGAAATAAATTCGTAAATTCTAATGTAAGAACTTGCTGATATCGATCTACCTTCAAACGACCTTTTAACCGTCTTCAAATCTCCCCGAAATCTCTCACTCCTTACTATTTTTTCTTTTCTGACGGTCAACAGGTAAAAAAGCATTTCTGGAATCAGACATCACACACTTTTGCGAGTAGTTTGAACAGTTCCACACATTCGCATAACTCTAGTCGACCGATGAAATGTGATGAAAACCAAGAAAGACGGCCCGGGACCACTTGACACCATCTTGCAACAGCAGGGCGACTCTCTGCTACTGTTGGTGAGGGTACACCAAAAGAATCGTTGTCAGAGCGGTCGCAGGTCCGGTATAAACGGGATAAAGGATAACTTTGCTGGTCTTGTATAAACGGGAATATGTGGCGAAAGAAGATAGAAAACGACAGAGTAAGAATTTGAATTTTCTAGCTAGCAGCGGTCGTACAAACGTCACAGTGCGGCTAATGCCCCTATTTCACACAGACCACGAATCCCACGAATGGCCAGGAGTTGACAAATTTCAGGATTCATGGTTGAATCGTTATCAGTTCGTGAAGTTCTTAAGAGATTCATATATATTCGTAGTCAGTTCTTGCAATTCTTGACCAACAGGAATTAGTGGCAAAAACTTTGATGACCCTATTTCACACAGACCACGAATCCCACGAATCGCCAGGAATTGAAAATTTCAGGATTCGTGGTTGAATCGTAATCAATTCGTGAAGTAACAGATTCGTATATAATCGTAGTCAGTTCTTGCAATTCTTGATCAATCGGGAATTCGTGACAAAAATTTTGAGCTGTTCAAAATTTTGGCCACGAACTCCCGATTCCAAAAAATCGTAGTGAATTTCTAGACAATATTCGTGCGATTCCAGACGAATCCCACGAATATTCGTAACACTATCGCACCTGTATCGTAACTGAATCGTAGAGCGTGTCGAATTAGACCAGAAAATTGGCAAAATCTCACGATTCCAGCCGAAACCCACGAATATTCGTAACACTATCGTACCTGTATCGTAACTGAATCGTAGAGCGTGTCGAATTAGACCAATAAATTGGCAAAATCTCACGAATCCTCACGAATCCAGAAATTTGTCAATTCCTGGCGATTCGTGGGATTCCTGGTCTGTGTGAAATAGGGGCACTAAACAGCATCAAAAGCAGATGCATGTAGGCTTAAATAATGCGAATGACATAAAAACGCTCACATTAAGGACAATAGGTTGTACTCAGTCATGCAAACCACATCAATGGCCTTAGACGGATTTAAGCCTTCATGGCACGAAAAAAACTACTTAGATCTACTAGAAACTTGTGTGCATAAGATGCGATCGTTCACCCAGGCCACCGTCGACGCGGTGCCCTATGTTTCTGTGACCTGGGTGAACGAGGGTGAACGACCGCAAAACAAAAAGTAGGGTTGTATGTAAAGACTGCGGTATTTTCGCAAAAAGCGCCGGAGGGGTAGCCTGCTCTCGACGCGCACACCCTTCGCTTAACAACGAGTGGAAAGGGCCTACCTGTGAAATAGCGGAGGTAACCAGAAAATGGAAAAAGAGGAGCAAAGTTTCTGTGAAGGTGGAGAAAATGAACAAGAAACTGTAAAAGAAAGCGGCAATAATGCCCTGACGCCTTGTTCGGTAAGCAATGATATGTTAATATGTCCCCGGAGTTAAAACTGCACAATGATGTATTCAGGCTTGTTATTACAGTACAGTATATTTGTTTCCTCGTTCTGAAGGTTTCTCTTCAAATAGATATTGTCAGCGACATCATAGTGTGAGTACATAGTGTAAGAGAAAATCTTATGTTGTTTCCCATAACATTAAACAACAACTTTTACGCAAATGTAATGAAGAGTTTGCGGTTGACCCCCATATTTCTAGTGCAAAACGGTTGCATTACAAACTTTTACCTTTTAAGCAATGCAAATACTACCCTAAACGCACTGCACTTTTTTCCTCGGGAAGNTTATGCTTTTACTTTCGTCGTTGTTACCTGTTGTGCATAATTAAAATTTGATGTTGACTGTGCGGTAAAACATAATGTATTATTGCATCAGAATTGGTAGTCTCCTATTTTGTGCATTAATGTTTTGTGCTTTTCTTAAGACGTGACTTATGGGCCTGAAAGACCTTTGAGAGGGTCAGTCTGTTTATATCCCTTAGGTATCACTTAATTAATTTCTGAGTTATAAAGTCATTTGCCTAATTGATAGGCCATTAAAGGAGATTACATAAAGCACACTTGTTGATATTTCCTTGTAAACTCCCAAAAGTTAAGCTCTCTGCTAGATTAATAATAAGGAAGCAGTGATTATTATGCAGGTTATTATATATATATATATATATATATATATATATATATATATATAAAATCAAAGATTAAAAGTTTGAATAGCAGTTTCATTGAAATTATATTTACCTCAGGCTCTGCCTAGGAGGTTATATTTTCACCCCTGTTTGTCTGTCATCAACATAACTCAAAAAGTTATGGACTGATTTTGCTGAAATTTTCAGGAACTGTCAGAATTGGGCCAAAGAGGACAATGATTAGTTTTTAGTGGTGGTCTGGTTCAATAATCAATCAATAATCAACAATAATCAACAATTGCTGCCTTGGCAGAGGTCTGCACTCTCGGTGGTTTTCTAGTTTTGTTATGTTTTCCTTTACAATTTTTTCTCAAACACTTGCATTTGTGACTTTTAACTCTCATCCGCTCGAGGCTCTGCACATTTTCTGTATTTCCACATAAGCAATTGTATTGTTTTTTAATATCTCAGGGTCCGCTCCTGTTATTGACCATGTTACCTGTTGTGCATGATTAAAATTCAGTGTTGACTGACAGTGCTATTATAAGCATTATTTATTATTGCATCAAAATTGACAAAATGACCTTTTTTTGCATCTTTATTTTCTGTATTTTGTCTGTACATTTGACAGCTTTGCTGCCTTGTTTTGGTAGCTGATGTCAGTCCATTTAAGTGTACATTTGTGCCTTGGTGTAGTGTGCACCTTTTCCATAAGCAACACCTTTGCTAGCTTTTGTGACTATAAATATTTGATTTAATTGGGTTTCAATTTAATTATAATATTTATTGGGAGTCTAATCCCAACTATACCCAAAATCCAAAATACATGGCAATGTAAAATACAAGTTAATATGAAATAGAACTGATAAAAAATCTACCTCTGATATTTTGTCCTTGCTTTCAGTAATGTACAGACAGTCTGCTGCATTTTCTACTTTGCTCAAGTTTGACTTTCAAGTTGGGGTGAGTATTTTTTTTTCAGCTGCGTTTGTATGTTTGGTATTGGGAAATACTCATATATGTTTTATTTATTTATTTATTTATTTATTTATACATAAGTAATGAGGCAAGATCTGTTAACTCAGTTTTTATCAATAATTTAGAATGTCTGTCTTTCTTGATTTTTGTTAAAAAGATGCTAGACTTAGATCACACTATACTCCATGGTGAAAACTGCTCCATTAAAAAAAATCTTTCTGTTAAAAAGGACAGAGTTACTGATTAAAAAGTTCATGTTATATTACCTTGCTTTCCAGGTGAGTTTTGTAGTACTTGTCTTGGAGCAGGGTGTGAACCTGACCACACTGGAGATAGTCACTTTAAGTGTGGGACTGCCTTTTTCATTCCTGTGGCTAATTCTTGGATGGATCACGGTGAGTACATACACTGTAGTACAATGTTTTGCTTTAAGAAATATGTTGGATATTGTTGAGAACAAAATAACACAGGCATGGTTTATCTCAGACACGGGCAATATAAAAATATTGTCTTAATTATGGTGGAGGTGACCTCAGTTATCCCAGCTGAAGGTTGAACCTAGCCATATTTACTTTTGCCACAAAAAGTAGCTTGAAAGAGTGGATGAAACATCACAATGCAGTAGTATGCAAACAGTTTCTAAAGACTGCATTGATACTGTATTTCAGATGAGGAAAGAAATTAAACCCTTGATGTGGATTTTTATTGTTCTGGGGCTAGTGGGACCAGCATATGTCATTTACAAAATAGTGATGGTGAGAGAAAACATATTTTTAAAAATTGCCTACATTTAACTTTAATGATGAAGTGAATACTAATAGTGTTAATAATGTAACTTTTAAATTATTGGCCGTTTAGATGTGTGTACATGTTCATGTTTTTTGGCTTTTGTGTCTGCATGTTTGGGGGGTAGGCATGTGCTTGCCGAAGTGTGGGAGCTTATGTCTGTCACCAAATTTTGATATGAAAGCATTGTTTATTATTATTATTATTTCAGTTATTTGAAAATCTAAAGGAAGAGCAGAGTGAAAAATTGCTGATTTATGCAGTCATTGTTGCAGGTAGGAATCAGTATTAACTTTGCACTGAACAGTAACCAAGATAGAAGCATTATGATTTAAACACTGAAAAAGTCTGAGAAGGTTGGGTGTGGAAGATTTGGCAAATCTTGTGGAATTTTTAATAATGTAAATTATACAGTATGTGGTTTTAATGCAAGATTAGGCACAGCATTTATTTTGGTGAACTTCTTGTTGCTTTCTTACATGGATGCAAAAGTAAAGGACATATATATATTTATATATATGATATCTTGTATGTCATAAAATTTCATAGCATTGAAATATGTGAATTGTAAATGTGTATAGGTCAGAAATATTGTATATTACAGGTGCTCTTGAACTGTGTGTACCTGTCATCCTACTTATCCAGGCTGTGGTGGTGTACAGAAACTTTAATTATTGTATATTACAGGTGCTCTGGAACTGTTAGTACATGTCATCCTACTTATCCAGGCTGTGGTGGTGTACAGAAACTTTAAGAAGGGACTCAAAGAAAGGGGTGAGATTTAATGCTTGACATTTTTAAACACCTACTACTGTACATGTAATGCTTACTTCTTACTAGCGATTTGTCTTTTGGTAGCCAATAACTGATTTTGTTATTGTTTTATGTTATGTTTCTTACAATTGCATTAATATTTATTTGCTTTTCTTATAAGTCTTAATCATTTATTATTTGACTGATGTACATTATTCAACATTTATTATAATAAAAGCACAAAATTAGTTTACTTTTTATTGCTTCGATTTTATTTATTATATTTTTTTTACTTAAATCTGTACATCTGATTTTCTGTTTTTCAGCATTTGACCCAACAGAACAAACTAGTTTGCTTGTGGCTGCTGGTCGCAGATAGACCCCATTTATACAATGCAGGACCCGTCTTCTCAGATATTGTAATGGGTAATGTTATTGGTATGGAGATTGTACAGCAGATCTTTGACAGTATACCATGTCAGGTCCTCAGCAGGATAAACTTTTAGATGATGTTTTTGCAGTGAAATTCGTCATCGCGAGGATGCATTTTAATAGAGTTTTAGATACTTCTTCATGAGTTTTGATCTGTCATCAGACGTGAATCTGCTTGTTGCTGTTTCTGTACATTTGTGTAACAACTGCTGCAAAGAATGCAAACAGAGAAGCAAGAATCAGCAGAACAAGACCAGTATGCAAGTATTATTACGAGAACAAAGCTGTTTTTAATGCCTTATTATGATATTAATATCTGTCATTAATGTTTTCGTTTTTAATATAACATGATTCTCAATCACCAGTAAGAGTGTTGATTTTGAAACAGAGTGGTCACTGAATTTCTGGTACCATCTTGTTACCTGTGAATCATAAGAAGTCTATGATTCTGTAGGGCACTTATGGTTCTCTTAGTCCCTGACAGTAAAACCAGTGCACCTGTCTGAAAAATTTTATGATATTTTATATAAGCATTAATGCCAATACTACCCCAGATGTGGTAATACATTTATTGATAAAAAAAGGTGTAGAATTGTATATGTTGGTGTCTGTGTGTGTATTCCAGACGGTTTGTTTCTCTCTTCTTGTTCATTTGTTGTGATGCTTGGCTTTTATCCTACAGTGTGTGTATACATGTACGGAATATATATTTTTTTTCATGTATCATGACGTAACCATTAATGCATATGTCTTTAGCCTATTTTACATTAATTATGAACTTAAGCAAGATTGCATATATGATACTAATTAGCTTGCCATACTTTTGTCAATTATTAATTCTTCACCAGTGTCAAAACCGTGCGGGCAGCTAAATGTATTTTATGACACGGGGAGTCGTCAGAATAACCATTTTGTGTCTTGGCGTGTACGTATTAGCTATTGTTGTAATTTGTCTCATTACCAGATATAGTGCATTTGTGATTATATAAAGGGCAGTTGTATTCGCATAAAAAATGGCTCTATGGAATTGTGATTAGTCAGTATGTCAGCTTTTACACATTAGGTGGCTTACTAGCAACAGCATATTTACAATCGCTTGCCATTGTTTTATCCTTTTGAGCACAAAGTATATATTTTTATATGTAATTAGTGATTTGGTAGCGATTGTATAACGAATGGCCAAATACATGTGCGCGCCATGCATTCAGCATTTTTATTAAACATTGTCTTTGGTGCCCTCTTTTGAGTATTTTGCAATTTGTTCCAGTATATCGATGTGTGTTTAGGTTTCAGACTTAAAGCTGTGAGAAATTACTCCTTTGCCAGATTAAGCATAGCGACGAAGTTGGCCGGACAAGCTTAATATTTTTTCTTGATAAGCGCCCTTTTTTTCTTAGAACGCGCGATTTGCTTACCCTGAGAGGATTTTATTGTCAAACCTACGATGTCATTTTAAATAAATTTGTATTTTCTGTTACTTTTCAGTGTTTAGAGTTATTTTTAAAGTCGAACGTCTCAAGTTGTGACTATTGTCAGTAAACGGGTTGAACATCATCGTTTTCTGAACGGGTTGAGTGATATTGGAGAAAATAACAGTATTGAGGGATGTATTTTGGTATCGTGTGTTGTTTTCCTTTGAATTAATATATCTGGACACGGAACTAGAAAATTAGGCAGAGATCAACGTAAGACTTCACATTAAAAAAACAGAGGGATATAGAATAACTTTCAAGTAAATAAACTATATCAAGTGAAATACAAGCATACAAAGATCGCAGATTTTGTTGAAAATATTCGTTTATTATTATTTTTATTATTTTTATTTATTAGTTTTTTATGTAAAATTACTTTACAATGTTTGGTCTGTAGTATTTGCACAATTAAGCGAGGAATTATGGAAATGATCTTGAAATAAAAATGCATTTCTGACTCGATTTTAAAGTTTATCGTCACTACATGTATTTATCTATAAACAAAACAACACCACATTTACACTATATTTATGCATGGAGGCTAAAGACCCCATATAAGACTTCACTGCTGTTGCTTTCAAAGCTAGGACCTTGTGCGAAAGTTGACCACTGGGCCCAGCTGAGGGCAAAGGGGGTTAAGCCAATGGTCACAGGAACTACCAAAAATAACCGGCCCATATGTCCTTATTGCTCGTTACACGGGATCTTAAACAGAAATTTTATGCGCTGAGAAAACTTGTCGATTACACTGCACTCAGCACATTCATGTAATTGGGAACCTCAAAAAATCATCATCTAATTTTGTTTCGTTTCTTACATCCCCGATCACTATTCGAAGAAATCGCGGCCACAGTAGATGGACTCCCATGTACTTTCTACTGAAATGCCGTTTCTAGCGGCTCATAAACAGCATAGAATTTTGTGGCCTAAGTACGTCTTTGTCAAGGAGTGTTGCCGCATCACGATCTTCTTTGTCTTCAAGTATAAAAATCTGCCGGCCGCCAGCACTCCCCGACATTGTCCTGTTGACGCCTTTGAAAGGTAAGTCTCGTACTTCGCCAGTTATCCTCGTCTAAGTATCGTACTGCGCCAGTTATAGCCGTCTAAGTATTATACTGCGCCAGTCGTTGTTTTCATGCACTGGGTTCTGATTTTGTTGCCTTCAAGCTGTTGTAATTGAAATCAATACTAGAAAGTCCAAATTAAAATTGAAAGTGGTCAGCGCTGATTCCATGTAAGGCGATGGACACTGCTTTTCCGCTATTCCATCGAAAGTTATTAATGTTGGCGGCTGTCCGTTAAAATTACTGTTACGTGTATAAACGTGGACGAAACACTTATCGGGTTTGGTTCGGACACGTGTTAAATCAAAGTAGAAGTGTCACCATCAGACCACAGATTTAATTAAAGGTAGATTACTTGACAAGGCAAGACGAGAGCTTTTAAAATTCTAATTTCTGTCTGAAATCTATAGTTGTACTGTCTGTAGTTGTTACACCGCATCTCTGCCTGATTTTTTCCTGATGAACCAAGCTAAGGTAGTGTGGAGAGAGAGAGAGAGAACATTCACAATGGTTCCAGTCTGAATCTAAGTTTTTTATTATTATTATTTTAATGTATTTAGACTTTGTTTTTTATTCTAGCCAATATTGCGGAAATAACAGAACTTCTTATATTAATGTTTTCCTCACACACTGATGAGAGAATTGTCTAATTCATTAAATGCTGGCACTCCAACAGTTTCAACAAATCATAAGGGAAGCATTTGGCATTAGGCTTAAAATTGTAGCAGCAAGGACTTAAAAAATTGACATCTTGCTTTTTCTTTTCCTTTCAGCAAATCATGAAATTCCTGCTTGCTGCCCTTGTTCTCTGCGTGGCCGTTTCATGGGCCAGCGCCAAAGCTGTGGACGCCCACGAGAGGATAAGTACGTTTGTTATTCGTTACCCACTCTAAGCATTCTGCAGTATCTATTTTATTCATTTTATTATATTTCTATTTTAATAATGTTGTCTCTGTTTATACATGGTTTTCTGTGGTCTTCCGTATTGTGCGAAGGGTTCCCTTTCTCCTTTTTACTTCATCCATTTACTTTATTCAATTTCTAATCGCAAGATCCTCTAGGGCCAATTGATTCTCCGCATGCGATATGCATGTATGAGAAACGTTTTCTGTGACGTTTGACTAATTAATTTGGTAATTAAGTAATTGAGTAAATAATTTGGGAACTGAAGTATAATTAAAATAGATCTGAAGCAATTTTCTTATTGACTTTATTTAAGATGTTTTTTTTTCTTCTGAAAATTCTTCATATTGTATATTCACTGCCCTGGGGTGATTCCGCTTGATACCCAGTTACATTCAATTTCAGTGCGCACCCTGATGGAAGACGAAGAATTCAAGAGAGGCTTCACCGACACAGTTTGCAGTGGCCTGGAAACCGTCATCAACAGCTACGCCGCCGATATCCTCAGCGTGGGGTGCAGCGCTGGGCTCACTAAGGAGTTCCTCTGCGGGAAAGTGGCGTCCACCATCGGCGGTTGGTTCACCCTCGCCACCGAGTCAGCTTGCAACGTCCTGATGGGGCAGTCTTTCATGCAGACAGCCATCGCGGCCCTTAAACAGACCTGTGCTTCGGGAGCTGGCGCCCTCAACAATGTCGACATTTGTTAAAATAGTCCAAAAGCTTTTGGTAACATTCAAGTGTTGATACTGTTCTGAAACATTCCTGTTTTGAGATTGTGAATGGTTCTGAATGTTGCTAGAAAATCTTGTAATGCACGTATAAGATATTTCATATATCTCTGGGATAAAGATCTTCTACTTGTGTACAGATGCATGTACACCAAATTAAATATCTTAACACATATAAAAGTTGTTTTGTTATGTTATATAAGATTTTAGCATGATGAATATAACGATGTAACGTGCAATCTGCATGAAATTCGAAATGATTATTTATATACCAGTATATATTCGCACATTAATCTGAAGACCTGGTATTTTCAAAAGTAAAAGAAAAGTCACACAGGTTAATAAGAGGCTTATTCATCAATCTAACAACAAAACCCCTCGTCGCGCGTGTGGTACACATATTTTACTTCTACCACGTCAGAGAGATACTTATTCTATTAATTATTCACATATAGTTCTCTGGCTAAATTTGTTCACGTGTGCAATGTGCCCAGCGATGATTTATTTGCAAAATTTTGGAAAGGACGTCAGCAGCCAGCAGTTGCCTGGTAGAGACTATATTTACTGCATTTATACTGGATTTCCCAGGTCCCAATCCCTGGATTACGCGTGACTTCTTAAGTCTGATTACAGGGAGGGTTTGATATAAAGAGAGGTATCGTGATAATCCGCAATGGACATGATGGTTGACCATCCCTTTAACAGGTGTCTGCCACCCACAAGCTTGTTCACAAACTGACTAATTAAGTTGGATACTGGCAGATGTCACTAAATTTCCAGATTACACTGGAAAAATCTTGGTCGGTTGTTCTACCTAAAAGAGTCACGGTCTAAATTAAGGTGATCCTGTTGTGAACATGTCTTATGGTGACAGCTCGGGTTTTACCTACTTCGGCGCTAAGAGGTATCTCCGATTGCCATGCCACGTACTGGTGAGATTGCAAACTAAGTCCGGTAATTAAAAGGTTGCGGACATGCGTGTCAATCATAATATTGGTCCAAGTAATAAATGAAGTTAACCAGATGTACTTTTTACAGTATGAATAAAGTAACGACCTTTAAGAGATCCAACCATTTCCAAAAACTTCAAGCTAGCTTACTGGAGATATATATTTATTTATAAAATGCAAACTTATTTAGCCAGTTTCCACAACTGACCTGTTGGCTATTTTCCGACAATTCACCCGTAGTTATCTGTCGAGAAATATATTTCTTTATATTGCAAAATGTCCAAATGAACTTGCAAATGTTTTTAAAAATAAAGCACACTTCGATTAGAAAAAAATTAAAGGCCTTACACAAATACTAGAAACCACGACACTTTTTGTATAAATAAAAGTTTATTAAAATGTAAACAATATAATCTAAAGTTTTCATATAGAATCTACCCGTAAAATTGCAAAATCAACAAAAAGCTCAACACATTGTTTAACAGATGTCGATGTTGCCGAGACTGGTGGCACCGGAGTGGCACTGGTTCTCCAGAGACTTGAGGGCGTTGGCGACGAAAGACTGGTCCAACAACACACCGCAGGCCAACTTGGCTGGGGTGGAGAACCAACCACCGATGAAAGAGACCACCTTGTCGCAAAGGAAGTCCTTGCTGAGACCTGTGCTGCAGCCGGCGTTCAAGATGTCGGCACCGTAGTTGGAGAGAACACTTTCCAGAGCGTTGCACACGGTATCGGTGATGCCTCTCTTGAATTCCTCATCCTCCATCAGGGTGCGGACTGAAACAAGTTGAATGATAAAACGATGAATAAATGCCCTATGCACATATCGTCAACTTGAAATTCTTTTATGTTGTTTCATTTAGGGTTAAATGTCTTCGGCAGAAGTTTGGCTTAAATTAAATACGACACACCGGTCATACTCCATTTTAAATAGCGGTGTTTACCTACAAAGTAATTGAATCTTAATTTCTTTGATAGGTTATATCAAGATTTGTCGTTCACATTACGAAAACGAATTCAATATTCCATTTTACGTTTAGTCAGTACAAGAAATGAAAATAGAAACCTATCTTAATTTGGACAACTTACTCATTCTTTCGCGAGCGTCCAGAGCTTTGGCGTTGGCCATGGACATGACCACGCAGACAACAGCGGCAGCGATCAAGAATTTCATGATGAACTGGAACCAAATATAAACATTTCAGATACTGCAACGCTCTTTCTTGTCGAAATTTATTACCAAATTTAAAGAAGAAAAAGAGAAAAACATGCCACTCGGTCGAGTACGTAGAACAATAGAAAAGTTGCCAGTTGATAATAAATATATTGACAAATATTTAAGTGCATTGCGGCGAGA